GTTTCCCAATTATCCCACACCGTTTTGTTCCCTGACTGCCAAGACTTGCCTGGAGTTACAGTTAGGGCTAGGGTCACTATCGATGATGACCCAGACCTCAGAGGGTTAACAGAGCATGAAGCCTTTTCTCCAACTGTGATACATTAAAAACAAATGGAAATGGAAAAAGAGAGAGCATTGTATTTCAGTATACTGCTGGTGATGCTGTGATCACAGGTGTAGGTACATTTCCCCTGAATGGTACAGGATTATATTATTATTATTGTGCAAGAAGATTTCATCTATAGTTGTACTTCAGCTGTTATGCAACAAATCGAGTATGTTTTGAATGTGATTGTCTGCAAAGGCCTTACGTGTTTGAATTCTCCTCACAACCTATGTTGAGTGGGTGCTAGTTTTCAGTCCCTTAGACTGTGGCTTGTTTTGCTGATGCTGTACAGTCCACTGATCTCACTTGATGAGATTAATCCGTAGTAGATACTTGTAGAGGGTTCATATCATCACCTACTGAAGGACAACGTTCCAGATGCTTCTGTGTGGCTAACCATTGTTAACAGCATGACTGTCAGTGTGTGTGTGTGTGTGTGTGTGGTGCTTACTCTTCCTGTCGTAGTATTTTATCCTCCACGGCTTGCAGAGCAGCAGCCAGCGAAGCGCTTGTTTCCTCCAACTTCTGGTGCACCAATGAATCCACTCCGAACTCTGTTGTCGTTGCGGCTGGCGCCGTGACCCCGCCCCCTGACATCCCGCTGTCCACTGACACCCCCCCAATGGAGGATCGTGGGGGTTTGACAGGCGGAGGGGTTGGGCTGGGAGTGGCAGGAGTCTGAGGTGTCTGTGGTGTGGTGGGTGTCTGTGGCGTGTGGGGACTCTGGGAGGAAGGGCTCGTCGGTTTGGCGTTCGGCGGGCTGGGAGTGTTAGACGGGGGGAAGGAGGGCGGTGAACTGGTCTGTCGGGCCACTGCAGAGTGCTGCTTGGGCGGGGCAGAGGCTGGGGTCGACAGTGCGGGGCCAGTTACGGAGTGGATGAGCTTGGCTGGTTTGGGCGCTGTGGGTGGTGGCGCTGGTTTGGGTGAAACTGGTGGAGGGATCTTCTTTCCTTCCACTACACAGAGAGCAAACAGAAAGACTGGATCAGTTGAAAATACGCTGTTTTCTCTTATAAACACTCTCTTAGACTGGCTGATACGGGCCTATAACGTTGTTTGAAACCCCCTCCAGTACCGATAAGCTTTGACTGACCGGGTAGCATGAAATACTCTTCACTTGTAAAAATACACTTTGTAAAATTATTTTTCAGCTGGCCTTTTCATCACTGTTTTTTTGCTTCAACTTCCTGAAGGGCATTTGGAATTAATATGTACACAAAACACCCAAAATCCACTGTGTTTACCTGGACTTCCAGGTGTCCCCGGACCTGGTAGGGGTACTCGTTTGTTGGATACAGGCTGCGGTGGGGTCTGAGGTCCTCCCTGTCTCTTTATCTGTGCCACTACAGGTTTGGGGGAGACTGGAGGCTTTGGTTTCCTCACAGGACCACCTTCATTTACCACTGGAGCTCCTTGGTCCAAGCTGTCCCTGCGAGGAGCAGCAGTCACTTGTGGTTGTGTTTGAGGTTGAGGTTGAGGTTGCGGTTGGGGTTGCGGTTGCTCGATCACTCCAGCATCAGACGCTGGGCGGCGTTTCACTGTGGCTGTGCCGTTCTGGTAGGGAACTGGCTGCGTGGTGTTTGGCTGCCCGGTGTTCGCGGGCTCCCCGTTGGCTGTGGCCAGCTCTGCGTAGCCCTCGGGCTCTTTGTCGCGGCTCTTGGGTCGTCGCTTGACGGTGGATGACTCTTGAAGGGTGAAGTCAGAGCCGTTGGTGTGGGGCTTGGAACTGCGGGGTCGTCGTTTTAAGGTCGCCGTGGCTTCAACATTGGAGATGTCCTCCTGGGCGTAGCTGCCATCTCCCTGGTGACCCTCGCCGTCACCCTGCAGACATACACAAAATACACACTAACGGAAAATTCATACATTCATGATAAGGGGTCATTTTTGCACAGTCAAAAAACACTGACAAAGATAAATGGATAAGACAAATAAAGCTTACAGAACACAGAAGCTTGACTATGGATTTGCAATACATTAGAGCACATTAGCTTTAGCACATTACATTACATAGATAA